TGAGGAGAACGTTGCTTGTTTGGCCCGGTGTGATTTTTTTTTCAAAAAAATTCATTTAAAAAAAAATATTAGCGAGATAAATTTTGTTTTACTAGTTTTATTAATATTGGTATATTAATGAATAATTTAGTATTTTTTTTAAAATATTTATTATATTTATTAAATATCATGTAAAATATTTAAATATCAAAATTAAAAGTACAATGTTTAATAAAACCTAGTAGATGCTATAATAAAATAATTTTGAAAGTATAATGCTGTAATAAGAAATGCCACATCATTATAGTATATGTGGATAACCTACGTGGACAATGAGGTAGCTTGGAAACCTGATATATTGAGTAAACTTAAATCAAAATATTACTCAATACTATAAAGGATAACTTTTTCAAAGTACAATTTCTAATAAAAAAATAGTTTGAAAGTATATTGCTATAATAAGAAAAAACTGAAATACAATGCTATAATAAAGAAATTTATAAAAAAATAGATTGTTATTTTATGCATTTTACCTGAAAAACAAAAATACAATACTATAATAAAGAAATTTATAAAATATGAAATCTAATGTATATCTGGCGTGAACGAATCACTTACTGAACCTGAAGGGTTGATGTGGATCTTGTTGAATCTTCAGGGACTAAAGGAATACTTGAAGGTTATTCGAGCATTAATCAAGATTCCTAAAGGCGTCAGAGTGTAATTTCAGCGAATGTATATAGGCTTTTCCATTTATTTTGCAACCATTAATTCATTCTTCTATCTCCATAAGTTTGTGTTTGGTGGAAGAGACATGAAAGAATTGGACCGGATAAAATAATTATTTAATGTTTGGTAAGATAAAATTGTAAAAAAAAAACAAGTAAAATGATCAATTATTTAGAAGAGAATTAAATTTTATTTTGAGGTTATATTGATAAAATATAAGTCTGTTTCATCTTGTTCCACCCTGTTCAATGGAGTAAGGGTGGAACAAGCATATTTCACTCTGTTCCTGTCTGTTCTACATAAAATTCATGTCAAACATGGGACATAGATCTCTGTTCTGTTCTGTCATGTTCATGTACACTGTACCAAGAACACACTAAATAGAAGGTTGTCTAAAAATATATTAAATCTTTTACCAGATTAGGGTTCTTTAGTTTAGGGTTTGTAATGCTGTACAATTTTTTGTCTAAGTTTCCTTTTCATGATTCTTGATTTAGAATAAAGTTTTTATCCGAATTTAACAGACACTTTCAAATTTTGTAACGATCAAGTTTTTAGTGATTATAATGAGAAGCTTGCCAATTTATTAAATCTCAGAAAACGACTTGATGAAGCGTGCCAAAAAGGCGATATAGGATGAGATTTCCGGTCAAAATCACGAGGATCGTTTGTTTGGAATTGCTACACAAATTAATTTGAAATATATACAACATAAAATCCTCTTGTGGCTACAGAGGTTCAAATCCGGTGACTCCGGGCTATCTGCAAAGCAGGTGGTCGTCCTAGGATTAGTTAGTTTGCATAGCGGGTTGGATATCCAGATTAATAAAAAAAACTTTAATGGATGTATACTACTTTCAAAAAGAAGACAAAAAGTTTCATCACATATTTTTGTATTTCACAAAACAATCTCTTATTGTACATTGCATTTAAAAAAAACATTAAATTGGGGATTAATCTCTTCACTCCTAACTTACAACTCAAGAAACAAAAGACTCACATATCAATACTTTGATGAAGTCAAAGTCTAACACTTTGGAAGATCAGAAGGTGGTGGAGGCAACTTCTGGCTTGGAAGCTTCCCATCCATCACTGCCCACGCCAGTTTCAACCCCCAGCTCAGATGTATCTCTATGTGGCAATGCATAAACCATACACCTGGATTGTCGGCTCGGAACCGAATCGCCACCCATCCGCCGGCCGGAACGCCCACTGTGTTTCTTTCAACGGGATCAATAAGATTAAAGTTGGCAGGATCTGTGGCAGAGTTGAAGTTTCCGGTCCCTTGTCCCACCACATAGAAGTTGAAACCGTGGAGGTGGAGAGGATGGTTYTCGGCACCAAGAATGCTGGTGCCTTGCATCACCAGCTCGACGGTGGTGTTGTAAGGTAGAACCACCACTTTTGTGCCGTGGGAAACCATGGTGTTGTTGGGTGGTGTGCCCGTGTAATTGAATTGATTAAGTGGGGATGTTGGGAAATCGGTGGTGAAAATGCCGTTCGATTTTCCAAAGTACCGAGCTTGAAGAAGTGCAGTTGTTGGCAKGGTGAATGAAACGTTGTTTACGGAAGCCGAGAATTTGGTGCCATTGGGACCTTGGCACGTTTGATTTTTTGGGCAAGGATCGCTACCRAGSCCGACCGTAAACAAATACCGGTTTTGAACAGTTTGTGGAACGTTCACAGGAAACTGGGAATTTCCCAAACTATGGAATTTACTGGTCCAATTAGCCACATAAGAAGTGGCATTGATCGCTGGCAATGGAGGTAGGGCAAGTCCTTTGATGGAAGTATTGGAGGATGACATAATGGTATTACTATGGTATTCAAGAACTCCAGCAACGGTGGTGTTGTCGAATGTTCCAGCAGCSGCGGTGGAGTAGGGTCGAGCCGCCATCAAGAATTTGGCGTTGTGGTTAAGGTTTTTGGTCTTGAGSAGAACGTTGCTTGTTTGGCCCGGTGTGATGTAGATTGTGTCTGTTTCAAACGGCTTCACRTAAYTCGMATCCGCATCAACAACGGTAAACGTATGGTTCGTGATTTTGAAAAAGAGTTCGTCATTGAGCGCAGCATTGATCAATCGAAGGAGGTATGTTTTTCCGGGCTTCACCTTAAGCCGAAATGTTTCTGCATATTGATTAAGGTAGTCAACTTTGCAAGATCAAATGAGAAAGTAAAATCTTATAGAACTAGTATGATCTTAAAGAATTCGGTACTTACCATTTGGGGAAGAACAATTGTATAACGGTCCAGGCAGCCCGTTGATCGTATAAGCGTCTGAATTATTTGGGCCAGCTCCGGTCTGAAGGGCCTGATTGATCACAGCCTCCGTGTCGGCCTTCCACCACTCTCCTGTCAATCAAAACGACATAATTTAGTGCAAGAAAACGATCGTGGATCCAAACATTRAAAASCAAGCTTCTGAAAATTACCGAACATAATGGGGACTTCCTTGTAAGGCTTAACAAAAGGGTACGAAGTGTTACGCCTTGGTAGAATGATGATTGGGCCGTAGAGGGTTGTCCGAATCCACGAAACATGGGCATGGTACCAAAGTGTTCCCCTTTGTCCGGTTATCGTGAAGTTGTAAACGTATGATTGGCCGGTTTGTATCGGGCATTGTGTTATGTAAGCTGGTCCGTCAGCCCATCCGCTCCTAAGCTGTCGAATTCCATGCCTGCCCTCATCAAACAAAACCATTCGAAATCAACACCAGAAAGAAACACGTGGGCACATGTATATTCTACAATCGTGTCATCGAATTCGAATTGATAAGAAACGGAAACAAAAACAAAAACGCACCAATGGATACTGATATTGTTCGAGACATGGTTAACCACTTTAATCACCACTCGGTCACCTTCCCTAGCGATAATCCTTGGCCCCGGGAATTTCCCGTTGACGGTTATTATGCTTTTCGTCTTACACAACCTCGTCACATTCCGCACGCGTATCTAAAAAGCAAGCACAAATGTAAGATAAATCATACAAGTAGAACCGTAATCTGTAGCAACCTGCCTCAAACTTACGTCAAACTTGTAGTGTCGAGTTGAACCGGTGCCAGCATGTTTAGCCATTGCCAAATGAGGGTACGAGCAGGCAATGCATGTAAGCAGAAGAAAAACAGCCAAGAAAGTTGATTGCAGACCCATGTTGTACTTTGGTTGGTAGCCGGAATGATTTGAAGAATTGAAGGGTAATGGTTTATATATGTATACATGCATGTATAACTGTGAAGAACACATAATAGCTTACCTACTGCATGTGGACCAATTATACCATGGAGTGGTGTTAAAGTCAATTCATCTGATTTTGACTTATATGACCATATTACCCCCATGTTAAATTTGCAGGGCATTTTGGGGAATGGAAGTAGGACTTATAATTGCTTGTGTTAATCTTGTTTATGAAGACAATAAAGAAGGTTAGATGGGGTTTAATGATGAATGTTGTACAGTAGGGTTATACGGGTTAGGTTGTGATGGTATAGATTCGACCAAACAGTGGCCTTCACAGCTTGCATTGCAAATGACCAATTAAGAAGACGACATCGTACCCACCTTCCTTTTAAGCAATAGTACTCAAATCATGACATGGATGGAACTTCATTTGCTTTTCCAAATTCAAACACCATCCAATGTAGTGTCGCATCGCATGGGAGAAGGGAAACACCACCAGCCAAGGGCGGAGATGAAACCTTTATAATGAAAACTTCTTTGACAATGGTATCCGGATACTTATTTGAAACAACTTATTCTTTTTTACAAAAGCATTTATCAACTTATTATAAGTCAGAAAGGTTTAATTTCTTCAAAAACTCCTTATTTCCGGTTTGACACCGGTATAAGTTGTTTATCCAAACACTCAAAAGTGTTTATTACCGGTGTCACATCGGAATAAGTCAATAAGTTATTTTTATAAGCAATCACAAACACCTCCTTATCCCATGATAAATGAAAATAAAAGGTAGTTGTTGCTTTTAAAGTATAATAAAAATAAATGGAGTGCATAACATGTTTTTAACAAAGGGCAATTTGCATGAAAAACTAACGTACTTTAGCTTGATTCCTATTTTGGGTAACGTACTTTCAAAACTTTCATTTTGGTACCTAAAATGTAAAGTTTTAAACATTTAAGTACCCAGGTAACCCAGTGAAGACTAATTTTAGACTAAAAAAAGAGAGACTAATTTTAGATTAAAAAAAATCCACGTCACTGACTAGGTCAACAAATAATACCGAGTTGGATACCACATCACTCGCCACATCAGTATGATAACCGGTTAATACTTCAACCAGTTACATGGGTACTTAAATGTTTAAAACTTTACATCTTAGATACTAAAATGAAAGTTTTGAAAGTACATTACCCAAAATAGGAATCAAGTCAAAGTACGTTACTTTTTCATGCAATTTGCCCTTTAACATGCAAATTAGACGACGCAATATATTGATCAAGAAACCTATTCATTCATATATATATATATATATATATATATATATATATATATATTTTGGTCCCTCTCACTAACTAATTACACCTATATTTGTACAAACCATCCTTATGATTCGCTTTCATTGTTTAATCTTATGAAATTTTTTCATGAAATTGTTTAATCTTATAAAATTATTTCATATAATACTTTTTTTTTTTTGATAAAATTGTTTCGTATATGGTTATGAAATTGTTTCATGTATTTCTCTAAAATTAATGTAATGAAGATGATAATATCCATGATTAACACTCATCCACGGTAAAAATGATTAATCAATCTCTTGTAATTACAAAAAAAAATGAACAAAATGAAAAATTATGATTGATAGAATGAGATTTGTACGACTTGTATAAATAACGTGGTTTGCAAAGTAAACATCTTCTCTCTCTCTCTCTATATATATATATATACACACACACACAAACAAACACACACACTACAAGGGTATCTGTACCCAAAATTTCGAGGAATAAATAATTTACCCTTATTATTATTTCTATTTTATATGTCAAATAAAAATAGAAATTAAATAGGTTTAAAATCGGACCAAAAATGAAGGAAAAGTCAAGCCACGGGTGAAAGTGTAATTTCGCGATAGTTAAAGGGTTGGGTCGGATGTAAGCAGATCCAAACCAGAAGGACCTGTTTTGTAAATATGCAACAGACCCGCACTGCAGAAGGGCCTGCTGTCAACATTGGGTGAGGCAGAAGAGGAACTGGCGGTGCCTGGTCCAAAAGGGGAAACTGTGACCTGCCGGTTGCAGGCTGTGGAGAAGCAGTTTCACAGCCTAAAACTCAGGATTCGGCCGATTTGGTCAACTAATAGGCCAAATCGTTTGAGTATAAATTATGGGCACTGGTTTAGGGTCGCCATTCTTTTAAAAGAAGAAGGAAATCGTCGAGCTTGAGAGAGAAAAACCGGAGTTCAAGACCAGGCAAGAACCCCCTGTTTTCCCGTCATTTAGAGGTAAATGCTCAACCAAAAATTTATGTTGTTACAATGTTTAGTTGTACCTTTGACCCTGTGTAGAACTCTATGAAGGCCCACGTCCAAACTTCGTGTTTTAGAGTTCGAATTCAAAGTTTAGATTTCATTTGGTGAATATGTTGTATCGAGTTTTGTTTAGAAACCACTTTAAAGAAGGTTATACAGAAGCTCTGCATGAGAGCTCTATATCAAGTTAAATGGTACAGAAGCTCTACATGGGAGCTTTGTATCAAGTTATGGTAGCAGAAGCTCTATATGAGAGCTCTGTATTAAGTTGTGTTAGACAGAAGCTTTGGAAGATAGAGACCAGAGGTTGTGTTAGTTAAGCAATCTACGTTAACAGGTGAGTCTTCATGAGACTTACAATGGGATGCATACCTATGTATAAATTATTTTTGAGCATTATATGATTTATATGATAACGGGTACATATACATGATGTTTCAGTTTACATACATGATATATTTTACATGTATGTCATTTTATGATCAGTTGCATGCTATGTGTTTAAGCAGTTTTCAAATAACTCTAGCATGTTATATCATATGAAAGTTTTATGATCAGTTTTAGCGGGTGAGCATTTGACCAGCAAGTCATGACCAGTATAAAACACTACCCGGACAAGTGGGTGATCAATTAAGATTGAAGTATCAACCCAGGGCGTGTTTGTGACTAAATGACACACCCGACAGACAAGTTATGAGATCTATGTTATTTCAGTGCTGCATGGTTTTCAAAAAAATGCATACTTTTGGTACAAAGTTTACAAGTTGATATGTATGATGTGAAATGATCTTTACTCACTCAAACCATGAACTCACTGAGCTTTATAAGCTGACTATAGTATGCATCTCAGGGCCAAGTAGTTCGAGATTGGATAAGAGCAAAGGACACGCTTAGAGAGTCGCTACTTATCATCTTATGTTTAGTCTTTTGACGTTGTGTTGATYYTTGTAACTTAACCCGGTATGAGGTGGGTTAGAWCTTAAGTAAATTTTTGAACGGTTCAAGGACCTCCGCTGTAAACAGTTCAAACGGTTTTATGTTAGCCGTCTTTTGGAGTATGTATTTAAGAATTGTTTCAGATTANTTTTTGAACGGTTCAAGGACCTCCGCTGTAAACAGTTCAAACGGTTTTATGTTAGCCGTCTTTTGGAGTATGTATTTAAGAATTGTTTCAGATTATGTGACATTCTCAAAAAAAAAAATGAGGGTGTTACAGTATCCGTGCAATGCAGCTCAATACATCTCGATTATAATGTTTTGTTTTATTATTTGTCTATATCAATATTATATTACAGTTTTATATGGTTTTGAGAAAGAGATAATATTTTTATGTTTAAATAAAATATAAATTTAAAAATACTATATCAATATACAATATTAGTATCAAACTAACTATTTAAAAATTCTTTTTTTTGTGTAATTTTTTTAATTCAATTTTTCTCATTATACTTTAATTTCGGTTTAATAACGAACTAACTTATTTTCGGTTTAATATATATATATATATATATATAGAGAGAGAGAGAGAGAGAGAGAGAGAGAGAGAACGCTTAGTTCAAATGTCAACCGAAATTATTGTGTTAACCTTATTAACCAATCACAATTCATCTTAGTATTAGGTCCTACTTTGTAACTTCTATATCACTAATTGGGAGTTACAAGATCCATAAAATCTCACGATTGTATAATCTAGAGGGGTTGTATTTGAACGACCCTATATATATATATATATATATATATATATATATATATATATACTAGTTCAAATGTTGATCCAAATTATTGTGTTAATTTTATAAACTTTTTCAATCAATCACAATCCATCTTAGTATTAGGTTATACTCTATCTGGGAATTTAATGTTAAGAGTATATGGGTATTTTTTTTTTGTAACTTCTATATCANATCAATCACAATCCATCTTAGTATTAGGTTATACTCTATCTGGGAATTTAATGTTAAGAGTATATGGGTATTTTTTTTTTGTAACTTCTATATCATTAATTCGGAATTACAAGATCCATAAATCCCATGATTTTTGCATTTTTAATATTGATCTTGTGATTTTTTTTATTTTTTTTTTAATATTTATAAATTTGTGATTAGTGGAGATCCGTTAGTAAAATGTTTGTTATTGTTCAAGCAATTATGAGTTTATGACAGTCGGAGTTCAAGATCGGGAAGTAAAATAAATAATCAAAACAAGTGTTTTGGTAATTATGAACACAAATTGACATATGTGACATAAATTGACATGCATACACCCATATGAACACAAATTGACATATATTAATACTTATGGCAATTATGAACACAAATTGAACATATATGAACATTTGTGGCAATTATGAACACAATTGAACATATACGGTTTTTATTGTTTGTAACCAATGATATTGATTGCACCTCCTCTTTTACGTAAATACCCTTGAGCTACTATGTTGACATATGTTTGTGAGATTATAAGAGTAATAAATTAAATTTATAATTTGATTAATCTCAACCCTATATTTTAAAAATGAATGGTCATGATTAGTTCATAAAATTAATACAATAATTTGGGTTAACAAATGAACTTGCCCACATATATATATATATATATATATATATATATATATATATATAATATGGGCTGGTAATTTTGTTTCAACTCAATAGTTAATG